AAGGATTGATATAACCCCCAATTTTTAAAGGGATGGCCTTGCCAGCGGAAGGCCTTGGTCAGATGACCAAGAGCTCCATCGGCGGGTCATCATATGACTGAAACCCGCGTCAGGAAACACTGTCCTATTTCCTAACGAATCTTACCTAACCCGACCTGCAGACCTCACAGTGGAACTTTATCAGACCCCACTGAGCATTGTTACATCACTAGAAAGAAATATTATTCATTTCATGTTTTACATTTAGTTCGTATAGTTAGGGTACATAGTACAGTATGGAATGTAACCTCAAAAAATATTATATCTTATTACCACTAAAAAAAAAACATTGGTCATAAGTGGGTTGCAGTCTCCTCGTTATCTAGTCGATGCAAAATGTGGATACAACCTCAATCAAGCTTTTAAATATCTTATCCTTAACAGTGAGGTATTTTACCATATTCTGTAAGGTTTGCATGGAAGTATCAGAGTAAGGTTAGATGTTCAGATACCATAATGTTCTGGTGTATGGCCCTGTCCACACACACACACACACACACACACACACACACACACACACACACACACACACACACACACACGCGCGCCGCGCGCGCACGCACGACCGACCTGGTGGGTAGTACCGGCTTCTCGAGGCAAGATGCTGTGTTTTATTGAGGAAGCTTTATTTTATTATGAGATACACGGATACTTTTTTAATTAACATCTTTAGACACGTGGATATTTTTTAATTAACATCTTTAAGTACACGGATGCCTTTTAAATTAAAATCTTTAGATACACGGATATTTTTTCATTAACACATGAAGCCTTCCAGCAGGTACTGGAACGTCTCTGACACAGCACCGAAGGTTTTCTTGTACGTGGTGTAACATTTCAGAAGGATTGGAGTTGTCTAACAAATTTTTCTCTGGAAGATACCCACAACAGTCGGCGGACAAACAGGTACCTCGTTTTGCTGCTAGATGGGCAGGCTGTAAGAAAACTTACCCATATTCTTCTCCGTGCCAGAGACTCGAACCCGGAACTTTGCGATTGTGAGTGGAATGCTATCACTAGTGAGCTACGCAACACTTCCGTAAGGACGCACAAAGTACCTAATGGCTGTATGGTGAACCACATAAGCGGTGACGCTTGCTTACCAGTGACAGGATGAGCTGCAGGTGCACAATAAACTACATCTCACAGGATGAGCTGTAGGTGCCCAGTAAGCTACTATTCACAGGATGAGTATGGGGCTCACAATAAACTAGGTCACAGAACGGCACAAACGAACAAAAGCACTGAACGTTTTCTTACACCTGTAGTTCATGTTTACCTAACAGTGAAGAGGGATCTAAAAACTAGTCAACTGTCGTCGTCATATTCAAAGGAATAATCCGTAGTACTACAGTATCGCCATCGGAATTAGGCTATGTTATGGTAGACAGTGACGAAAGTCGACAAGTGACGACAAAGACGAGGGTAGCAGAGGATCCTTTTAATAAAATGTTTCTCACAAGGTCTGGTTTGATCAGGTAGTTGACAGAGTTCAATCATGGGCGAAACGTTGTTTTAAAAGGATCCTCTGCAGACCACTGTCTTTATAACCAATACTGTGCTTTCTTGGATTGTTAAAGAAGACATTTATTCTGGGTTAATATCTTTCCCGATTAGGAACCCTAAGAATGTGTCCTTCCACAAGTATCTTTGGCAGTTCAACTTATATGGAGATGTCACCATATGAAATGTAAAGTTTTGATAGAATCTTACCAACGATGATTGAGAGACCTGAGTCGGGTCACCCCCGACTAATTTCATGTCTACATAAATAACTCATTTCGATTATAACCACATATAAACATGTAAATAATTCATTACTACTGTAACTTGCTAAGCTATCAAAACTTTGAGGCCCATTAAGCGCCACTGTAATGTTTTGACTACCGCTCATAGGCTGTGTATGGAGGTGCATCTAACATGGACGAGTTGCTCTACGACACTGCTCATCCGTTTGTATGTAAATCATTGTAAATAGTGCCTTTTTTCGTCTTGGACAGTAGAAATTTTAGTGTTACTTTTATATTATTAGTTTACAAAACCGTCAAGTAGATGAATAAAACACGTGTACAGTACATAGGTATGTTTATCGTGGAGACGTTTCGCCAATCAGTAGCTTCATCAGTTACAGCACAGAGAATATTTATTAGAATCAGTGAAAGACGTGTAGTAGGTTTGAGGCGATCAGTCCCTCAAGCCACTTCATCTAGTCTTCCGAAGATTCGGGAAATGTCCTCATAATAAAGATACCCAAGTTTTGCAAATGTGTCTAATTCATTAACTTGTGAATAAAGAAATTCAGATCGGCATTGGTAGGTAGAGAGGTCCTCTTCAGCTGGATTATGGATTATGATTTAATTTGTAACCTAAACTCTTCTGTAAATGTCTTTACACAGTTTTTTTTTTTTATAAATTTTATCTGCTTGTACACACTCGTCTCTGCTTGTACACACTCGTCTCGTTTAGCTATTCCAAAGTTAAATAAGCAGCATAATTTGTTGCAACATAAACGTATTATGTGATGTGACAAACTTTGTAAAAATAATATTAAATTAAAAAAAATATTACACAGAACTTAAAATCATTCATCAAAAAGCAAAATAAGGCACGTGAATGTTTTAAAAAACAGCATATAATTAAGTGTAGCGCGATTGCTGTGGTATTTGGAAATTTGTGGCCAAGAATTTTCTGATTTTTTCACTTGCGATTTTTCAGATTGCCAACGAAACAGGTGGTAGTGCCTGGGACCGCAGGAGCCAGCCGAAGACTTAATGTTCAGGCGTCATTTATGCAAATTTAAGGGAGCAATAAAGCGAACTAAGTTTTTGCGACCCTGGCATGTGTTGACCGTGTTGCCACCACCACCACCAACTCAACTTCACCAGGACCTTTAAACTCAAGAGGCCATACACAACCTAACCGACATGGTGCATATCCTTATTGTTAATAAGACACGTGAAATTGTGAGACTATATCCATATTTTGTATTATATAGGTAAATAATCTACTGTATGATGAGACTGTAATGTAGGTAATATCTAAAGTTACAAAAGTTTGGGTATGACCTCTGTTATTTTTGAGATCGCGCTCACAGTCTGAGCTGCTGGGCCTCTACAAAATCGACGTTGTAATAGTATAAATTACTGACACTGTAGTAAAGAGAGAGACATATGCAGTATATTGAGATCCTTAATCGGTTAAAAAGTGGCCGAAATGTCGTCAATAAAAAATCCCATTATACTGCATTTGTGTTTTTTTACTAGCAGTATATTGTAAGAAAATATACCGACAAGTTGTAGTTGATAAAGATGCATAGGCAGCAGTTAGAAAGTATGTTTAATTACTTGAATACCTGAGGCACATCGCTCATGTAGGCCGGAAGTGGCGGTGAGACCAAGAGTCAGGCTCGCCTTCCAGCTTCGGTGCATAGTCGGGATGGGCCCTCAGAAATGATGAGTTTGTCGAGCTGTGAGAAGACCACCACCATCGAGAACAGTAGCTGTATCATATTAATGGTACACAATACAGACAGTTTGGTATTTTTACTGATGAGACGTTTCAGCAGGCTTTTTCAGCCAAAATACAGGGAGGACAACAGAAGCAGTGAAGATGTACATATGAAGTGATTAGTCCCTTAGCTTCGGACTTTTTCAAGGTTGATCACTTCATATTTACATCTTCATTACTTCTGTCTCTGTATTTTGACTGAAGCCTGCTCAACATGTTTCTTTTTTTTCAAGGTTGAGGGACTGATCACCTCTTATCTACATCCCTACCACTTATGTTGTCTTCTCTGTATTTCGTTGAACAAAACCTGCTGAGCAGGAGAATCGTCTCGTCAATTAAGATATCAGACTTGCACATGTGTCTTACTTATCCAAAGGTAAATGTGCACGAAAAGACCTGCCCCGCCATAGCGCAAGTGTAAGACAAAAGCCCCTCCCCCTAACACAAAGGGAACACTGTATCAACATCCGTGGCCCCAGATTATTCAACATCCTATCAGAAGATATCAGAAACACTGCTGGACAAGTTTATAAGCCTTCAAGAGGAAGCTGGACAAGTATCTTCACCAGGTGCCAGATCAACCAGGTTATGATAGATGTGTGGCAACGGGCCTCCAGCAGCAACAGCCTGGTTGACCAGGCTAGACACCAGGAGCAGACTCTAGAAACTCATCAAGGATAAAAGTAAGCTAATCTAACCCAGGGATTTTTGCCTTAGTTTCAATTTTGATGGAGGGGCTTTGTTGGAACTATAGGGCGTACTGTAATACAATTGCAGAACTACTGCAATCGTTCACTCTTACCATAGTGATGAAATAACCAGTCCCCCTTCACAATGCTATTAACTCTCACTAATACTGTCGCCGATCCTCCTCCTGGAGCCATTAAAGGGTCATCAACTGATACAAGACTCGTGTTAGGACTTTGATCCTTACGAATATATCGTCATCTAACCACGTCACTAAATTTACGTCACTTAACAGCAAATATTTGAAATTTAATATTTGTTATTCTGTTATGTTACGTTAACGTTTATAGCCTTGGTAAACATAGGATACATTGTGGATGTGTTAAACGTTAGAAAACTCACGCACGATATGAAAACGGTTTAACGAGTTGCGGTACTGATGAACACTAGTCACTAACTGCGATTCAGGCAGGGGTGGGGAACCTTTTTTAAGTTGGGAGGCTGCAATAAAGTTATGTGTAGTCTAATAAGGCCACGTTCAAGAAATTTTAATTAGATATACTTTAATAAAATAATTAATTCACAAGGCCGCATGCGGTCTCAAAGGTCGCAGGTTCCCCACCCCTGCGTGATGGTGATTAGTGTATAGTAATAGCATTAGTGCTTAGTGAGAGCACAGGAGGCTAGTGGTCCGAAACTAGTACTGGAGTAACAGCTACAGTAGTGGCACCAATCGACTCCAAAAAAGTTTTTCTGAACTGAAGTATATATATATATATTGATTCCAATATATTGTGTCATTAATTATATGTAACTCCTAAACCGTGACCCTTAGTATTGGAGATTAAGAGCAATAGTAACCGGTATCAAGGAGAAGAGGAGAAGGGCAGTTGTCGTGTATCTGGCAGCGTGAGGCGGGTGGAGCCCTGAGGTGGACGCTGAGACACTCAGTCATTGAACCACCACAGCCTGTGGTACATGCCAAGTGCATTTACTCTGGCTCGCCTCGCTTCTACCGATTGCTGAACTTGCTAAACGATCCTCAGTTCATCCACAGTGTGCGGCAAGAAGACGAGAGGCATAGCGTATAGACAGTGATTAATATAATTATCTGTAGTAAGAAAACACAGAAAATATAAAGATACTCTCCTGCAACATGTCTAGTTACACGAGGCGACAATGGATCACGTTAGTTGTATTCAGTTTGGCGCAGTTCTGCAACGCCGTGTGTGTGTCACTTCAAGCACCTTTCTATCCAGCGGAAGCAGAGAAGAAGGGCGCCACCGCTTCCCAGTATGGTCTAGTTTTTGGTATTTTTGAACTGACAGTGTTCTTGGTGAGCCCCATTTATGGGAATTCATGAGTACATGGGGTCCCAAGTTTATCAACAATGCTGGCATCTTCACAGTCTCAGTCATGTGCATCCTCTTCGGGTTCCTCGACCGTATGGACACCACCTCCCTCTTCATCGGCTTCTCATTCGCCATCAGGATTGTGGAGGCGATGGGCAACGCAGCTTTTGTAACCTCCGCCTTCAGCATCATCGCCAAGGAATTCCCCAAAAATGTTGGTGCTGCGTTTGCTACTATGGAGACTTTCTTTGGGTTAGGACTCATTGTTGGACCTACGGTAGGAGGTGCTCTCTACGAACTGGGCGGCTACACTCTTCCCTTCGTGTCCCTGGGCAGTGTGCTTCTCGGGGCAGCCATCATGACCAGCTGCCTCTTGCCCTCCACAGGAGCTGATGCTACACCTGAATCTCTGGATTCTCGAGGACAGTTTTCCTCAGCTCTTCGGATTCCATCAATTATACTGATGTGTTTAGCTCTTTTGTCGTCTTCCATTAGCATTGGCTTTATGCAGGCGACACTAGAGCCCCATCTACGTCCTCTGAATCTATCGCCTTTTAAGGTGGGGCTTATGTTCGTGCTCAGTGGTTCAATGTACGCATTGACTGCACCCTGCTGGGGATCGTTGTGTGATAAATTAGTTCCTCCTCGAATTATCACCACACTCGGTACTGTTGTGGTGGTAATTGCTTTTATTTTTGTGGGACCTATGCCTTTCCTCCCACTGGAAACAACCCTTCCTCTGTGTATCGGCTCGCTCATCGTTCACGGAATTGGATTCGGTGCAGTGTTAGTGTCGACCTTCTCTGGTTGTCACCGAGATGTTATAGCGAATGGATTCCCTGATGACCTGCACACTTACGGCCTGGTGTCTGGAATCTGGACGTCGACTTTTGCCCTTGGATGCTTCATTGGACCATCCGTTGGTGGCGTTCTTCTGGATCTAGTGGGCTTCAAGTGGGCGTCTGTGTTTGTAGCAGGACTGCATGCATTGGTGGCATTATCTTTAGGAATTTTTATATGTCTTAAGGGAAGTGGAAACGAAATGGTACGTACAAGTGTGCATGACAGCCTATCTCAGACAAAAGATGAGCTCCACGGACTTCTGTCCCACGTGGATGGAGAGTGTGACTCCACTTATGGTAGCGCGGGGTCTTCCCAAGAGAACCTCCCCAGCATACCTTGAGTGATTTTTAGTTCCTTGCACTTTACAGTATCCTGCTTCGCTTTGTCCATCGTGTTGGCAAACTGACTCGACGCTGGTGCCTTACCAACACTAAAAACTAATTGACAAGAGCAGGGAAGGATCTCTCATGGCACAGTTTTTTGCCCAAGGTCTTCGGCAGTATCCTGTGTCCTGATTTTTTATCTACATTATGTCGAGTCGTGTGTGAAGGGAAAGGAATTATTGGTTCCCTTTTTGTACAAATTGACCTGGTAGACTTTCCTTGATGGAAATTGTGTATATTATGATGAACTATCATTACAAAATGACAAAGGCTGTAAATATTAGTTTTTAATAATAAGGTGATCTTAATAGTCTGTGATATACCTTTCATCATGATGTAAGAGAGCCTGCCGATCACCATAGTGTATCCGGCTTATTTTTAAGCATATGTATTTTTAGTGCCATAAATTATCATTACTTTTTAAATATTTTTATTGTTAATAATGACAGCCATAGTATTTTTAATGCAAATAAAAGTGTATACTCAGTGTCTTTAATGAATCCCCAAAATAATTATAAACTATAAAAAGTTTTCGCATTAAAATTAATTAATGTATATGATATTGTGTTCATGAAAATTGATGTTACTATTGTTCATTATATTGGATATCAGTCGTTCACAGCTCCTAAAGTTCATAACAAGAAAATATAAATAGGTCAATTATGTTTTAAAGGTATGTTAAAGTAGTATTACATGGTATGAACAAATTGAGTCGAGTTGCAACATTATTATTATGTTCATTGGAAGCGCCCTGTAGTGATCATACAGCGACTGGAATTGAATAAGAGGCAACTAGGGTTGATTGAAGGAGGGGAAGGATGCTTACAACTCCTTGGATCAAGAGCCCATCATTATTTAGACGGAAGAGAACTCATGCTGAATACAGCATGGTGCTGAGCTACAACTCACGCTGAACAACTTGGGATTGCAACGCTAGTGAGAGGTAATGTTGCTCTTGACCATCCCGTCCCCGCGAGGGATGTCTTGGTGCCGCTGAGGAACTCTTGATCCAACGACCAATCTTCCCTTTTCTTGGATCGAACCTATTATTATTCCAGGCGTTGTGTGACCCCTGTGGGTTTAGCGTTTACCTATAATAATGATAATGGCCTGGCTATCGTAGCTATTAGGACTGCTGCAGTGCTTCGCCATTTTTGTGTGTGCAGGATGAAACAGGCTGAGTTGTGGACCATAAGGCCGCCAGCAGTCTTGCTCCCGTTGTTGTTCCCCTCGCCGGTATATACTGGCTCCCTCATTATTTGTGTTAAGGAATTTAGACTAGTTATAATTATAATTTTTAAAGGGGTTGATCGGTAAGTCAGCGGAAGACCTCGGCCAGAGGACCAAAAGTTCCAGCTGCGGGTCATATGACTAAGACCCGCGTCAGGTAATGACTTCCTGTTTCCTGACGAACCTACCTAACCTAATTTTTTGTTTTAGTGTTACTTTGTAAATGGTCCAAGTCGGATCGAAACACCGTCGTAAGCTCCTCTCTATGTACGGACTATTGTAGCCTTGTAGGTTTAGCGTTCTTTTTTATTATAATATGTGTGGGCTCTTTGCGTATGGTCCTCAAGGAAGGTTCCTTGATGTGGTGAGGGCTCTTGATTTGGAATTGATCTGACTCCAGTTCCGAATTAAGCCTATGCTTCCACATCCCCCCAGGCGCTGTAACCTCCGGGTTTAGCCTCCGCTGATTAAATAAAATAATTGTATGGTTGCAGCGCTGTATAGCGTTGTGGCATAGGGTCTTTTTGATTATACAATAACATTTGCGTAGGTTGAGAGGCATGCACCAACAAGCTGGCCCATGGCCGAGCTGGAGACTAGAATTTATTGAAGCCATTCAAGGTTGTGGATTGTGAGAGCACCATCCAGGGAGAACACTCCTCAAACCTGCCTGGTGGTTAACTGTTTTTTTAATTTAAAGATTTGATCTTTTGTTCTGTTCTTCACGGGTATTGCTGTATAACCTCCTCGGGTTAGAGCTATTTGATAACTTTTTATGATATTATTATGTAGAATTCATGGGGGTGTCTTGATCCAGGGAACTGCATCTACCCTTCACTTCCTTTGATCACACCTGGCAATGCCTCCCATTCCAGACATTGTATATGATCCATGTGAAATTACTGTTACCTGTTAAACAATATTAATTCAATAACTATATTATCATTATATTCAGTGGCTATTCGATCAACTTCGCCAAATTCAGTTATTTGGGTGTCGTGAGCTGCCCTCAACTCATGTGTGGTGGGACACTAACAGTGCTCCTACCAACTTTTATTCCATTGCGTAACTTCTGGCTCTCTGGCCCCTCCCGTGAAGTATGGTAGCTCTCTCACGGGGTGCTCCGTCTACTGTTTGCTGCGACACCTACAGTACCTTAATGTTCTCTTATGCCAGCACTCTCCACATCGCTGTCTTTATTTCCAGAGATCTTCATTCTTATTCGCATCATTGCTAACCTGTAGTTCGCCTGTACCACTGAGGTAGGTCTGCTGTAACACCCAGGTCGAGCTGCTATACCAGGGGTGGGCAAGTTCTTCCATAAGAAGAGCCACATATAATAGTTTTCATACATTTCTGAATGTTCAAGAGCCACAGAAAATAATTTAAAATTGTATTTATAAATAAAAAATACAACTGTATAATAGTCTTGCACGCCAAAACAAAATATATTTAATGTCTGCTCGTTGAAGACTTTGAGTCTTCATTTTTGTAGTTAATAGTTTAATATATGGCTGGTAGTATATAAAAGCTGAAGTTCAGTGAGGTGGTTAGTGAGGATAACATGATGTTTTGACTTTATAAATTTCATTACAGAGAAGAGATATAACATCAATAAGCTGTCCCAAAAACAGAGGGTAGTCGGAAGCTAGTTTTCAGAAGACTGGGATATTTTGCTTCTAGGATTTGTTTCCAGAAGTCAGAGATGAGCGTCTATGTACTAGCGTCAAACTCGCATCCTCCTGCAGCTCAACTCTGCTTCTCTTGAAAAGATAATGTAAATTATCCGTGTATATATATAATATTCTAATATTGGTATATACTGTTCTATTATAGATTATTAATATAATTTTAGGAAAAATGACAATGAAACAATATTGTTTCGGGAGCCGCATGCGGCTCGAGAACTGCGGTTTGCCTACATCTGTGCTATACCATCAAAGTATATCTACTGTATCACTAAAGTGTAATAAGGTATAGCTCATATAGGGTGTAATAGGGTATAGTTTATATAGCACACAGGCAGAGGTGGTGATGGTGGTTCTCTCAGCTTCCTGTACACCTGCTAAGAACCTTGAACCACTGCGCTAACTTTCTATTGACCAAGTCAACACAACAAGTCACTACAGCCACCCACAAAAACAAGTACTTACAAATATTTTTTGAAGAGAGCTAAACCTCTCAAGGGGGATGGGGTGTCTTGATGCTGGTAAAAGGCTCTTGATCCAAGAAACTGGATATGCCTTCCCTTCCTTTGGATCAAACCTAATTACTTCTCATCCCTCTGTTTCATAGTAATGAACTTTTCATACAAAAATATGGTGAGAGTAGTATAAGTGACTCGAGCCAGGGACTGTTGCGGCTTAGTATGTCACGCTGACAAGCACACCATGGCAAGGTATGTATAGTGAAAGAGGGAGGAACAGCATGTAAGGGGAAACGGACATTGATGCATCCACTCAAATTCTCGAAGTGATCAAGGTCCAACGGCCGAAACGTCTTCAGTAAGGGTGTCCTCAATGAATGCATTCGTGTCAATTTCTTCCCAAGGTGTTACCAGTCATTTGATTATAATAATAATCTTACTATGAACAACGTGTAGTTGAACCAGCGTTATTCATGAAGCACTGTTTGCAGAGCCTAGTGAGCGTACAAAATAACTAGCTTTCATCAGCGTTCTGGAGGGATTGTTACGATCCATAATGCCACGTTTTGTCTCCTGACATCTGTATGATCCTTGTGGGTTTGGCGCGTAGTTATGATAACTCCTGACACTGGGTATACACTGTTAAGTTTATGTCGGTGGAAATACACTGAGTGGTATACTTCAATCTCTAAGGTTTAAATACTCTTAACTGGTGTTTTACAGGTAAAATGAAGCCTCAAGGATCTTCGTGCAGTTGATACTTTGAACCTAACAAACCAACCTCTCGACACCACTTGTGGCCACTTGGACAATCTGAAATGTCACAACGCCGTGGTAGTACAAAGCGGGAAAGAGTAGTAGTGTGGGCATGTCAGAAGATTATTGGCAAGCCAGCAGTGATAGTTCTCTAGACATATATGCTGGAAAATTAGAAGTAAAGAGAATGTACGAAGTCCTTTCACTGTCCTCATCTATTCAGACTCTTAATTTATTGGGAATGGCGAAAAATCCTTCAACCCTTATCCTGGAGGGCAAGCGAGTACCATGTATTTTACACTTGAAAAAATACTTTAATAACTGATCCACGAGAGATATAAGTGATGCAAAATCCCCACAGTGAAAAGTTGTTTAAATAAATGCAGTGATTTATAACAAAAATGAAGTATTTGGAATTTTTAAAAAAATTAAGTATAAAGGTAATTACCAACAGAACTTTGTCTTCAATAAGGAACTAAGGAGCTTACGCAAACTTTTTCTGGTCATCCAGACTGTGGTATCTATGTGGAATTGTGAGCCACGAGCACTAATCTGACCAGTCTTTCAACCAGCATGCCTGGTCTTACACCCAGAAACTTCCATAATATAGGCGGGGAAATTCTGTGTTTAATATTGCCAAATCAACTTGATGAGAACTTAATCACAATTCATTACAATCCTCTGAGTGTTTCATAAAATATCACTACTGGAACAAGTGTATCAGTCTTCAAAAGGAAACTCGTGTAACCTTCGCCAAATGCCAGATCAGCCGACCAGCGGGTCGGCAACAGCCTGGTTGGCCAAATACGCACCAAACAAACTTGACCCAAGATCAAGACTGCGGGAGTAGGATAATTCTTGGAACCGGTTACAAGCATATCACAGCTTACATTAAGAAGTTCTGGGACCCTGACACTTGAATCTTAAACCAAATTTCCCTTGACTGATTGATGGAATTAATTGTCTAACACCGTATAATAATCCCTCATTACACTCTTAACTTGCCTCGTGAGGTATATTGGCAGAGGAAATTGGACATGTATCTTCGCCAAGTGCCAGATCGACCGGGCTGTGATGGATATATGGGCCAGCGGGCCGACAGCAAAAACAGCCTGGAGTATCAGGCAAACACCCGATAAACATGGCCCAGGATCGGTCTACGAGGGTACGAAAACATTTGAAGTCCTTCAAGGATATATCTAAGGCAAAGGAAGCCAGGGGATCCATTCCTTGTAACCCCAATGCGACTGAACCATTATTAATAGTAGTAGTATATAGGATAGTAATAGTAGTGGTAGTATTAGCAGTAAGGCAATATACCGTAGTATGGTAAACTATAAAAACATTACACTTAGTATACAAGGAAAACTGTCATTTATAAAGTTTTGTATACAACAGTGAAGTATTTTATTTGGTACAGTTTGTTGGTATTCACTTATCAACCCCTGTTACAGTATTATTATTGATATTATTATTAGTCTACTTCACCGTTTGTTGCTTTATATATGTGAATAACGTCCACATATCCCTGGTACCTACATGTTTGAGTAAAGCTGACCGATTTAATGGAACCTGTCTCTTGCCCTTAGCAAATATTATGTAAATCATCCGAATTAACTCTATCTCCTTGACTCGATTAACTGGCGTTAAGTTGATAATGGGGGAAAACAGTTACTAATTATAAGTGGTTCCTCAAAATACTGGATTGAAAGATACGGGAGAAAGTGCAAAATAAACCCAGTGAAAAGCACGGGTGCGGTGGGCACAGTGAGGGAACACTGTATGAACGTCCGGGGGCCCAGACTATTCAACATCTTACCAGAAGATAATAGAAACACTGCTGGAACAAAGTGTAAACATTTTCAAGAGAAAATTGGAGAAGTATCTTCACCAGGTGCCAGATCAGCCGGGCTGTGATGGATATGTGGATCACCGGGTCACCATCAGCAACAGCCTGGATGACCAGGCAAGTACCACACGAGTTTGGTCACAGGCCAAAACTCTGAAATTCATCAAAGATATATGATGTGTAGGGGAAACGTTTCGTCAGTAGAAGTACCAAGTGTTTAACGTGTCTTACTAGCTTGCCGGTAGTATATGTATATTGTCTATAATATGAAGTTACTACATCTAGGCGTGTAGCGAAGGACCAGATGGATAGCCTGGGTTCTGTGCGGTACTCGAATTAAAGACCAAGTCACTTTCTCCCCAAAGCCGGCTGCTCCGACTTTATATAGTGGGGCAGTTGACGTGGTTTGTACTTGGGCAACTACTGTCTCCCAGGTACAGTCCATGGATGAGCAGTTCATTATTGTCTTTGCTTAAGTGGTTAGGATATTTTAGCATTCATTAAAATTTCGACGCCGTGCGACTCCAGTGAGTTAAGCACTTTATTTTAATTAATTTATATGTTGGTGTACCACTTGAGGGAGATGCCTTGATGACGATGAGGAGCTCATGAACCAGGGAAACGGGCCTGTCATCCCCTTCCTTGGATCAAACCTGACTACCTTCCATTTCCCATGCTCTGTATGATCCTTACAGGTCTATCGCTTTTGAGTATAATAATAATAATAATTTTGGTATAGCAACTGAAGCAGTGGGTTCCTAAATGTTGTCCTTATATGTTGCATACATTGGCTCTAATATTCTGCCTATTTGTGAATATCGCGTAGTCGCAAGTCTTTATTATTATTATTATTATTATTATTATTATTATTATCCTCATAGAGAAAACAGGAAGTGTGTTAAAGTGTCGAGAAGTAACGAGGGGAGAGGCGTTCATCGTGCTTCTGGCAGGGCGAGGCGAGTAGAGCACTCAGGTAGTCTACGAGACAAGACAGTCATTAATTCATAACTGTGAGGGACGCACTCGATCGTGTGTTCCCTGTTACAAAACTTTTTAAAAAAATTATTGCACTCGTGTTCTCCAACGCTTTGCCTCCTGGCCTCTGCTGAACCGTTTACAAGAAGCTAAGAATGGTGTACGGACAGTAGACATCTGGTATGCAGCCCTGCGACAACATGCCTTTTTACACAAGGCGTCAGTGGGTCACGATAATCCTGTTCAGTTTGGCTCAGTTCTGCAACGCTGCGTGTGTGTCACTTCAAGCACCTTTCTATCCAGCGGAAGCAGAGAAGAAGGGCGCTACCGCTTCCCAGTATGGTCTAGTATTTGGAAGCTTTGATCTGACAGTGTTCTTGGTGAGCCCCATTTATGGGAAGTTCATGAACAAATGGGGCACCAAGTTTATCAACAATGCTGGCATCTTTACAGTCTCAATCATGTGCATCCTCTTCGGGTTCCTCGACCATATGGACACCACCTCCCTCTTCATCGGCTTCTCATTCGCCATCAGGATTGTGGAGGCGATGGGCAACGCAGCTTTTGTAACCTCCGCCTTCAGCATCATCGCCAAGGAATTCCCCAAAAATGTTGGTGCTGCGTTTGCTACTATGGAGACTTTCTTCGGGTTAGGACTCATTGTTGGACCTACGGTAGGAGGTGCTCTCTACGAACTGGGCGGCTACACTCTTCCCTTCGTGTCCCTGGGCAGTGTGCTTCTCGGGGCAGCCATCATGACCAGCTGCCTCTTGCCCTCCACAGGAGCTGATGCTACACCTGAATCTCTGGATTCTCGAGGACAGTTTTCCACAGCTCTTCGGATTCCATCAATTATACTGATGTGTTTAGCTCTTTTGTCGTCTTCCATTAGCATTGGTTTTCTACAGGCGACACTAGAGCCCCATCTACGTCCTCTGAACCTCTCACCTTTTAAGTTAGGGCTTATGTTCGTGCTCAGTGGTTTAATGTACGCACTAACTACACCCTGCTGGGGATCGTTATGTGATAAGTTAGTTCCTCCTGGAATTATCACTACACTCGGTACTGTTGTGGTAATAATTGCCTTTATTTTGGTAGGACCTATGCCATTTATCCCACTGGAAACAACCCTTCCTCTGTGTATCGGCTCGCTCATTGTTCATGGTGTCGGATTAGGTGCTGTATTTGTATCAACCTTCTCTGGTTGTCACCGGGAAGTTATAGCAAATGGATTTCATGATGACCTGCACACTTACGGCCTGGTGTCTGGAATCTGGACGTCGACTTTTGCCCTTGGATGCTTCATTGGCCCGTCGGTTGGTGGCGTTCTTCTGGACCTGGTGGGCTTCAAGTGGGCGTCTGTGTTCGTAGCAGCGCTACATGCCTTAGTAGCATTGTCTTTAGGAATTTTTATATGCTTCAAGGGAAGTGGAAACGAAGTATTACGTACAAATGTGCATGACAGCCTATCGCAGGCTAGGGATGAGCTCCACGGGCTTTTGTCCCACGTGGATGGCGAGTGTGACTCCACTTATGGTAGCGCGAGGTCCTCACAGAAGAACCTCCTCAGCATATCTTGAGTGGTTTTAAGTTCTTTGCAGTTTACAGTGTCCTGTTTCGCTTCGTCCTAATGTATCCTCCATGTTGGCAAACTGACTCGACGCTGGCGCCTCGTTAATACGAAAAACTGCTTGACAAGAGCTGGGGCGATCTCTCATGGCGTTGTTGTTGTTGAAGACATCTTCATAGTCGACCAAGTACGGATGACAGCTCTACCACAGCATCTGTATTCACATTATTTAACCACTGTATTCTGAGTCGTGTGTGAGGGGGGGGGGAAAGGGATCAGGCGCTGCCTTTTTGTGACTGAATCCGTTTGTATAAATCGTGACCCTCAGTTAAGCGGACTTCGGAAATACGGAACAAAATTCGCTGTGTCAATAGTTTTGAAAACAATGGACAAAGTTCTTTGGTCACAGAATTGTTCTTTATTGTTACAATCACTGCAAAACAACATTTTCTCTCTCCACACAACACTCATCACTGGCCACCTGCTTCCCCAATTAATCTGTTAAATAAAGTGTTTACTGTAAACTACTAAAAACAGGTTCTACTTGCATATTTTCTGTATTGAGATGGAGCGAACCATTACAAAACAACATCTTGGATGAAAATATAAATGTGTATACTAGGCCGTGATCTTATAAATGTGTCATGTTTGTCTCTATGTAAACCATGTATAACTAGTATCTAGGTCACACTATTGAGTTTTTTTCTGTATATGCAACAAACTAAACTGGTTAATTAACTTTGTGATAACCATAACTTGTATTTGATGATAATTAAAAGTGTCCACTACATCAGTTTAATGTCTCTTCAGATTAATTGCATTAATTACATCTTTAAGGCTTTTAAAAATAATAATAATGGGAAAACGAAGGTCTTTATATTTATTCCCTCAAGGGAGGCGCCTTGATACTGGTGAGAGGCTCTTGATCCAAGGAACTGAACTTGTCTTTCAGTTTCTTGGATTGAGTCTGATTACCTTCTATTTCCTAGGAGCTGTATGACCCCTACGGGTTTAGCACTTTTCTCCTATTAAAATATGGTAAATATTTTTATATTCTGTAAACTGTATGGTATAATATTCATGAGAAAGTAGTGTAATAGTTCACTAGTGGGTGACCCTTGATGCTAGTGATGCTGTATAGCCCTTGTGGCTTAGCGCTTCTTTTTGATTATAATAATTGATGCTAGTGAAGGGTCTTGATCCAAGGAATGGGAGCTTTCTCTTGTAGCTTATAGACATTCCTGGTAGACAATTCAGGGGGGTCAGAACCCCCACAGCCCAGTTCCAGACCAGGCCTGTTCAAGAACCTGATCAAACAGGCTTTTCGTGATGGCACAGTGCAGTCCAACGTAGGCACTACAACCCGGCTGATCAGAACTGACCTTACATGTTGAAGATAGCCAGGGGTCTGTTGCTAATTCCTCTTATTTATCAAGGAAGGATGTTGACGAGTCCTGGTCCCTGTACACGTATTGAGACCACTCAAGGTTCCTTGACGCTGGTGGGAGGTTCTTGATCTAGGGAATTGGATCTGTGCTCCAGTTCCCTGAATTAAGCTTGAATACTTTCCACATCCCCCATCACAGGCGCTGTATAATCCTACGGGCTTAGCGCTTCCCCCATGATTATAATAATATATACACACACGTATTAAGTTATCTCTTAGTGTACTTATTGTACAATCATTGTATTGTTTCTGCCCTTCAAGAGCACATGGTAATGAAGATATTTTGATCCAAGGAATTGAAGCTACCATCCCCTGCATTACCTCCCGGGCACTGTATGACTCCATATTGTTTTAGCACTTACCAGTTACTAGTACTACTACCAATAATAATTATGTGAAAGCGTTGTGCTAGGTGCGCTGCTCCCAGCTGGACGTTGTATCGTATGCTCCAGGTCCTTTTTTCTCCTCTGTCGGGTAACAGATTTTTTTTTTTCAATTTTAGTCGAGTGGCCTTAAACATTCATAAAAATATTAAATCTCAGTGGTCAGAGCGTTCGGTGAACAAAAAGATCTGGGACTGAATCTCCGGGCAATGTATCCTCGGTTTATTTGCATGTTCACACATCTTCAGAAGTATTAATAACAAGAGTAAAAATGATCCACATACAGGAGTGAGGTGAGGTGATCTTACTCCAACTGTGGAAGGGAGTAGTTGGTAGGGCAGTTGAAGCTGCGGTTTATTTCTCAAGTGCTCCAGCCACGGTAGTGTGGTATTTATTCTTTAGTTATTTGTAATTTGGTGAATATTACATACAATAACATTTTAGATTCATTGTGTGTAGGTATAAAGTAAAGTGATGGTGTGGGGCTCGGAGTATGGTGGTAGTGGTTAGGACCGCCGAGTATGGTGATGGTAATAGTTGTGTTGGTGCAGATGCTGGAGTATAACGGAGGGGATAGGGTGGTAGGGGTGAATGATGCAAGGTGTGAATCAACACACAGACTCTCCGTAAGACAATAAATTATACACCCGGAGAGTATATATTAGTGTTAATGAATATACCTACAAGTATGTCAGTAAAATACAATATGAGGTTTATGACATTTTATGAAGATATTTCGTCAACTAGGACTTTATTAACTGATACATGTTGTGCGGTTTATGTCATTTTATTATGTTTCGTGTATCAGTTGATGAAGTCCTAGTTGACGAAACATCTTCATAAAATGTCATAAACCTCATATTGTATTTTACTGACATACTTGTAGGTATATTCATTATTAATGATATATACTCTCTGCGTGTATAATTTATGCCTGTTCACTGGCCACCGCACCTTCACCTTGCTTGCAGTTTCTCACTTTCTTGGCAGTGTTGAATGAGGCCATATTCGGCTCTCCCAGTGGTGGTGCTATTGTAGTTCACTTCATGACCTTAGTTTCGCTCCGTGTTTATTTACTTTATGCAAAATACTGTATTATCTTGGCCTTGTAGTATTTGCTTCTCTCTCACTGCTAGTTTGTGACATGTTATGATGATTCTTGTTTAAGCCTCAAGGATTGCATCCCAAAGAGAGGAATGCTTTAATGCTTGCCAGGTGTTTCTGATCTGAGGAATTGGAACTACCCTCTTTTTTTCTTGGGTCAAACCTGATTTCCTACCATTCCTCGAGGCGTTGCATGACCCCTGCGAGTTTAGCGTACCCTCTTAAATATAATAATTCACCTTTTGAGGTTTCCCCTCAGTCTCACATTGGTCGGCTCAACCGTTACTTTGCAATTTATCCTATATAACAACTCTTTTTCTGTGATTAACATATCATCAAGGAGAATGTACAGAAATTGAGAGCAGTGTCTTAAGATTTTGCTGCAGTATATGTAACGTGAGTGACATTAAGAATGTTCGAAATGCTGGAGAACTCTTTAGGCAGGGAGTCGGTTCTGCCCTCTTCTTAGATCAAATGTGATTATCATAATTCCTTTGGCACTATATGATCCCTATGGGTTTAGCGTTTACTGGTGAATATATTGATTACATGGGGTGGTAACACTGCCTTTTTTACTCTTTTTGATAACAGCAGATTCAGTATTTCTTAGTAAATCTGCAAAAGAAACTTCCGATTTATTTAAAAGATTGTATTTCGATTTTGCATAACTAGTTAAGATTCTCAACACTTTTAGGAGAGTGCAAAACAACCATGGGGTTGTTTTGCATCCTGTATCGCTTGGTTTGCGGTATTTGCATTTTAGGAGAGCGTCACATCCATCAAACAGACGTCGAGGCTGGATGGAACTTACAGCAGGGCTGACGGGGCTGTTGACCTTTCATGGCCTGGCTGCCCTCGGAGCAGGTAGAGAGGTTTACTATAATATAGTAACATAGCGTTGTATATCATTATATGGTCAGTGGGTGAGGCTCTCTGTAATCATGCTTTTGTATTTATGCGAATGTTGTTCACTTCTTTGCCTCTTGTGAACATTGTCTACCTTTGAGACTCGTGTAAACAATGTTCTGTATACCAAGTCTAGCCTCGTATTACTATTATTATATTTATGGGACTGCTGAAGCTATATGAGTCAGACAACTCTTGGGGAATGGTAGTTAAAATATGTTTAAGAAAGAGGAAGGTAATTCCAGTTCCTTGAATAAGGAGAGGATAACGGGTGAAAGTTATATCTTTAAAAATGCCTGTAGGAACTCATTAATTCTACAGAACCTAAAGTGTACGAGAAGATTTTATTCTGGGTGATTAACCCCTGAGTGTTAATAACGCAGAATAAACCAAGAATGCCAGATAATGTAGCTTATTACAGGATTTTTAGGTTCTTCTCCTGGATACGATCCATAACAGTCAGCAGTCCACTAACTCCTAGGTATCTATTTACGGAAGGTGAACGGAGCCAGTAATATTAGGAGAACTTGTCCCGATATTTCTGTCCGACCGGAAATGAGACGTGATCTTTTGGCTGTGAGCCGAATTCTTCACCTCAGCGTGCCACTGAACCATAGCTAGTGTTTACAGTATACTGTAGTTATAGCCCCAGCTTCTATTTCAACGGCCACCGTGATACTATATCTTTGATCTAAATTATGGGTGTGTCGTTACTTTGTTCATAAATGGGTATACAAGCTAATTTTGTTGATTGATTAATGGGATTTAAAGCCTATAGACTGCATTAGGGTCATTAATTAAGGCTGCACAGTAACCTTTTCACCAGACAAAAATACTTTATGAAAAAAAAGGATTAAACTCTCAGCATTGCTTACTGAGGAATAATTCTGTTCCACTTCCCCATGGAGATAAAAGGAAACAAACAAGAACAAGAACTAGTAAGAAAATAGAAGAAAACCCAGAGGGGTGTGTGTGTGTGTATATATATAATATATATATAATATATATTATATATATATATATATATATTATATATATATATATATATATAATATTATTATATATATATAAATAATACATATATATGCTTGTACATGTATGTGTAGTGTGACCTAAATGTAGGCTGAAGTAGCAAGACATACCTGAAACCTTGCATGTTTACGAGACAGAAAAAAGACACCAACATTCCCTACACATATGCTGCTATGTATGATAATTTATGTAACTGTATTTATGTGTACGTGAATAAACTTACTATGAACAGAGTCTCAGTGTTGATTGCAACAACATTATGGGATATATTCCATGAGAGGTAGATTTATCTCAGCGTATATATGCATATATACGCGATTAGACACTAGGCCTGTTGTATATGTGTGTGTATGTGTGTATATGCGTGTGTATGTGTATTCACCTAGTTTTCACCTAGTTGGGGTTGCAGGGGTCGAGTCCAAGCTCCTGGCCCCGCCTCTTCACTGGTCGCTACTGGTGTGTGTGTGTGTGTGTGTGTGTGTGTGTGTGTGTGTGTGTGTGTGTGTGTGTGTGTGTGTGTGTGTGTGTGTGTGTAAGCTGAGAGTTTACTTTAATCCATATTTTATGGATTAAGATATTTTTGACTGGTGGTGAAACAGTGCCATGCGGCATTCATATCATGACTCTTCCTTTAAACCTAATTAAGCAACCCTCTTATAAATGAGCTTTGACAGTTAATATATTGAGTCGCATAAACATTATTATAATACAGCTTTCTCAGTGTAAAACGTTAATTACGTTTTGTAGTAACTGAGTGACTGTATGACCCTTGTGGGTGTAGCGCTTAGCCATGATTATTATAATAATAATTGAGTGAGTGTGTAAATAATGTGGTGCAATATAGTTTTCTGTGACACACTGCCAAGAAGAGAACGTAGATTAGTGAGCACAAACTGAGGCATTTTTCTGTTGTATATAAATAATGTTGCCTATATTATATTTGTAATACACACACATAAAAATTATAAATCGTGTAACTGGGATAGTTTTTAG